CACAAGCTTAGTAATCCTCCAGGCAGGGTACTGATATATAATAATAAGTTCTTCCAGAGGGATCATCACAGCCACAGTATTATACTCCTCTCCACATCAGTCTCCAAACGATGCCCACCATAAATTAAACCACAATAGCGTAATTCCGTAAAAACTTAAACAGAATATACTTTATTCATGTGCTTACATATATCTTCATCTTTAAAATTGCCTGACCTGAGAGGATCTGCTGAGGATTTCCGGAGGTCTGGCTGGGCTGATTTCTTGTTTGATGGCAATTTTAAAGATGAAGATATATGTAAGCACATGAATAAAGTATATTCTGTTTAAGTTTTTATGGAATTACGCTATTGTGGTTTTATTTACCCTGCCTGGAGGATTACTAAGCTTGTGTTTATAATTTTTTGGTAAGGGTATTTAATTTGCACACTCTAGAAGTGGACACGTTTTTCACAGTTTTTTATCCCTAGATTATTTCACGGGCACGTGTTTACACAGCTATTCACCTTACCATATAGTGATCACGAGTGTTTTTTTGTGTGAATCACATGCGTTATGGAATGAATAATTCAAGTTGTTAAGGATAATACACTATGTGCATTTTCCTTTCTTTTTTTTTTAGTTTTTTTTGGTTTCAGAAATCACTTTGGAGGCTGTCTTCACCTGGAGGTTGATTTAGAGATTTTGAATGACTTTGATATTTTGAAATACTATTTTATTATTTTGGGACTTGTGTGGTTTTTGTTCAGAGCACTTATTATATTTGTATTTATATTTGGGATACAAAGCATACTTCATAAGATTATCACACTTTTTGGGGTTTAAGTCTATATGCGTTTTGGGGCGGTTTGTTAATAAGGGAAGGGTACACTGTATTTGATTGTCATTATTTTGCACTAGGGGGGTTTATTTTTATTTATATACTTGGGATACTAAGCATACTTTATAAGATTATCACACTTTTTGGGGTTTAAAGTGTTTATATGCATTTTGGGGAAGTTTGTGAGTAAGGGAAGGGAACACCATATTTCATTGTCAAATACAGACAAATGCAAAGTTTTGTGAACCACTTACAATATAGGCCATGTGTTCTGGCAGAAAAAAGTTGTTGTGATGGGGATACTTACTGAGTTTAGAGAACCAAACATGTTTTATTATGTTCTCATGGTTTCCACATTTTTTTGCAAAAATGCACTTATTTAAAGAATACTTTACAGTTGCTTTTTTCAACACTAAATTCCATCTACACAGGAGAACATAGTTTTCTGACAGCCATTGTGTGTTTGTATACAATATTTTAGGTATGACAAATCACTTGTCTATCTGGAACCTCCTTTGCCCCAGGACAGTTTCAATCTTAAAACCTTCAATAAAACCTGTATCTTGAGATCTAGCTAGCAGTGGTCCAGGGGGCACTGATGTTTACTTGTGTCAAGAAATGAGTTTGTTTACACACTGTTTCCAGAAAGAGCTTAATACTGACAAACCAGTTACAAGAACAATTACGAAATGCTTGTGAGAGCATTAGCTGTAAAATCCAATATTGTTTCTTTGTGTGTTTTTTGAATTCTTTACAACAGATTGTACGCTCCGTTTGCATTAAAGACTGGCGTTCTGATGGTTTCCAAGCTTGCATAACCATAGGCCCAAACGAAAAGCCAAGCTATCTGAACTCACTTACATAGTTACATAGTTACATAGTTACATAGTTAGCCCAGCTGAAAAAAGACAAAAGTCCATCCAGTTCAACCACAGAAAAAAAAAAAGTTATAATCCTATACCCACAGTTGATCCAGAGGAAGGCAAAAAAACCCCAGCAAAGCACGATCCAATTTGCACCTGCTGGGAAAAAAATTCCTTCCTGATCCCCCGAGAGGCAATCGGATGTTCCCTGGATTAACTTTACCTATAAATGTTAGTATCCAGTTATATTCTGTATATCTAAGAAAAAATCCAGGCCTTTTTTGAAGCAATCAACTGTGACACTGAGGTATGTTCTCCCTTTACTCCCAAATAATGTGTGAGCAGTTTGAAGCATGGTGTAGCAAAGGCAGAGAACACAGAGGCAGAGTGTGGTGAACAGAATATATTGGACAGGTTCCAACAAGGTACAACCAGGCCCGGCTGGAGAGCACAACCGTCCGGTGCCACATACAAGTCTCACAACAGAGATCCTGTGGCTTTGAGCGATGCTGACAGTATCTGCAACAAGGAGTGGAAGTGTAGCCTAGTTGGTCCGACCCAATAGGGGAGCTACTCCTAAGAAGAAATCAAAGTCGCTGCACTTTCTCTAGTCCTTCGGAACCTTTCCCTGCTGCTTAGTGCTGTACCTAACAGGTGAGGAACATGCCCCTTTTCTATCCACTTGCAAAATAAGGCCCAAATCAGGAGGCCAGGGGATTAAATAAGCACTGCCCTCACCCAGGATGACCGCAGCGTCTAATTGGACAGCTGCTCCCAGGTAACCATAGGAAGTCATAGGGGAATTAAGTTCCCCAATATTTCCTTCCCCTTCTGTATTGCCGCTTTGGTCAAGCGCCACCAACAGTGGGGAGTACAGAGTGCACCTGCCTTCAAATGTACCAGAACATTTCTATCCCCTTTCAATAGGAGTATACAGAGAGAGCACAGGTAAGTGGTAAGAAGGACCTTAGCTGACCAGTCATGCTTAGTTAGAGGGACATCTCCTTGTAGTGCTCCTAGATATCAGGGAAAATTAGACATGGGTTCAAACCCTGCTCATCTCCACCTAGTGCAGAAATCCATTTTGAATAAAGCTGCTTCAAATTAAGGGTAAAAACAGCACTCTACATTTCTTCTGAACAATTTACAGTTTCACAATAGGGTGTTCAAAATGTAGCTAAAGTTTCTTATTTCAAAGGTGTTTATGACATTCTGTTATCCGTCCATCCATGTAATCACCATCTTCAGTAAAAAAACAACACAAAAATACATAAGTTCTTTACATTCTCTTGTGCTGCTATGAAAGACAACTGATGATAGTCAAAGATTATGACACCAAGCAATGTAATTCCTGTAATTAATGGTAAATAGACATTTCAGGGCCAACACACTGTTATCTTCTTATAAAAACAACACCTTTATCATCTTTATACATTGAGGCTAATTTACGAAGGGAGAAAAAAAATGTTCACTTATTAACCACATAATATAATAAAGTAGTGCAAAGAGCAATTATGATGGACCAAGTGCACACAGCAAGCAGCACATTTTAGGTTTCTTAGAGTCAACTCCGTAAAAGATGGTTTCTGATTTATTGCTAATCTTTACTACAATCTTTTCAGTACAAGGACTATAGCGTACTAATTTACAAATATTTGAACACTGAAAAGACAGTTTTATAAAGAGTCGAAAGAATAACTTTGTTACTCTTAAATACGCTTTATATTTAAGAAAGTACATCAGTTCTTAACCTCTTACTGACCATAAAACGAATATGTGGGGGCAAGAAATATGGCCTTTAATACCCAGCCACCACACAAATGCATTCATGTTGACATGTATGTGTGCTTAGATCGCAATCACTGCGCACTCCCAGCATACTGACTGAGCTGTCACCAACATCTCTTGGTCAAAGCTTGTGATCAAAAGCCAGCGAGACAGGCTCCCAATCATATTTACATAGTTGGTAAGGTTGAATAAAGACACTTACCCATCTAATTCAACCTGAGTATTTGTGTTAGTATTATGTCACTATCATTTTCAATGTCCCTGCACATTAAGTTCACTAAGAAACATCTGAAATGTTTTTTTTTTTTATAATATTTAAAACTACACTGTTTGTTGGACACCATTAAGGGAAGGGAGTACCACATCCTTACTGCTCTAACAGTAATAAAAAAAATCCTTAGGCAGTTTAAAACGCATGCTAATAGTTTGCTAGCCTTACTTGCTGCAGTTAGGTATTGCATACGTTTGCTGTGTCTGATCTACTAGGAACCGCAGGTCCTTTTCAATCTTCGATTCCCCCAGAGGATCTCCCCGTAGAGAGTAACTTTAATGGATATTTTTTAGCTTCCAAGTAAGATACTTTACATGTTTTAATTTTTAAATCTCATCTGCCATATAGCTGCCCACCCCTCTACTTTCTTGAGATCTTGTAAAGTTGCTATATACTGTTGTGAAGTTAGCGTCCTGCTTAGCTTTGTATTATCAGTAAACACAGAGATTGAACTACAGTATTTATTCTAATCTCTATATTGTTTCTGGACAAGTTAAACAGAATTGGTCCCAGTACAGAGCTCCAGGGCATACCGCTCAGAACTCAAGACCATATAGAAAATATGCCATTTTTCACAACCCTCTGGACATGCTCTTATAAACAGTTTTCTATCCAGCTGCATACAATATCATCAATGCCAAAAGACCTTAATGTGAAAATTAGGAATTTGTTGCTTACTGTATCAACTTTCTTAGCAAAATCTAGATGCACTACATCCACAGGCCTCCCTATATCCAAATTATATTTTACCTCTTCATAATAAGTTAAAAAGTTAGTCTGGAAAGAACGATCTTTTGATGTTGTTTACTACTAATGATAATATTTTCTATTGCAAATTCTTGGATATGGTCCCTTATCATTGCTTCCAATGCTTTACATACTATTGATGTTAGGCTGACTGGTGCGAAGTTAACAGGTAAATATCTCAGACGTTTTTTGAACATTGGTACCATGTTTGCTTTTTTGCTGGTACCATTTCAGTCAGTAAACTGTCCTTACAAATTAGGAAGATTGGTCTGGCTATAACAAATGAGTTTATTGAGAACTCACAGGCATACATCATGTGGTCGTGGTGATTATTCACATTAAGTGTTTCTAGTCTTTTTTAAACACTGCTTTCTATCAGCCACAAGCTTACATTTAACCTCCTCTCGTCTGTCATATAGTCCAATGATGGGTGCAAGGCGCTTCTCTCGTTCTAGAAGGACATCATATGACGTCCGCGCGCGGCTCCAGGAGTGCGCAGTGCGGCGATCGGTGGTGCGCTGTGTCCCTCGGACACAGCGGATCACTGATCCACGGAAAGAGCCGAAGATGTCAGCTCGGTCATGTGATCAGCTGTGTCCAATCACAGCTGATCGCATGTAAACAGGGAAATGCCGCTTATCAGCATTTCCCTCCTCACGAGCTGTCATGCTGACAGCTCGATAGGAGAGCAAAGCAGAGCCAGTAATCGGCATTCCTCAGAGGGGACATGTACACTGATCATCAGAGCACTGATGATCAGTGTGCCCTGATGATCAGTGTAGCCCCAGCAGTGCCACCTGTCAGTGTCTATCATTGCCAGCTGTAAGTGTTCATCCATGCCACCTGCCAGTGCCCATCAGTGCCACATCAATGGCACATTTCAGTGCCTACCAGTGCACATCAATGCCACATATCAGTGCCCATCTGAGTTGCCTTTCAGTGTCACCCATCAGTGCCAATCAGTGCCACATATCGATGCCAATCAGTGCCACCTATCAGTGCTGCCAATCAGTGCCACCTATCAGTGCCAGTCAGTGCCGCCTATTAGTGTGCATCAGTGCTGCCTATCAGTGCTGCCTATCAGTGCCGCCTAACAGTGCCAGTCAGTGCCACCTAACAGTGCCAGTCAGTGCTGCCTATCAGTGCCTATCAGTGCCACCTATCAGTGCTGCCTATCAGTGCCATATATCAGTGCTGCCTTTCAGTGCCCATCAGTGATGCCTGTTAATGCCCATCAGTGCCTCCTGATCAGTGCCACCTATCAGTGCAGCCTATCAGTGCCCATCACTGCAGCCTCATTAGCGCACATCAGTGAAGGAGAAAAATCACTTATTTACAAAATGTTATAACACAAACTAAGAAACTTTTTTCACAATTTTCAGTGGTATTTTTGTATGTTTAAGAAAAAATAAAAACCCCAGAGGTGATTAAATACCACCAAAATAAAGCTCTATCTGTCACAAAAAAATGATAAAAATTTCATATGGGTACAGTGTTGCATGACTGCGCAATTGTCATTCAAAATGTGACAACGATGAAAGCTGGAAATTGGCCTGGGCAGGAAGGGGGTATAAGTGCCCTGTAGGCTAGCGGTTAATATAATTTAATTAACACTGCTATCTTGTTTATTATACCCCTCCTTTTCATTTCAATAAATTGAGGAGAAAAATGTGTTGGTATAGTTACCTTTACCCTGTCACTCGTGACCAGCTTCCCCTGATCAGCTTTTATAGGGGCCGATATGTTCTGACCAAGCATTTTTGCTATTAATATATTTGAAAATATTTTTTTTTCCTTTCTTCATCAATGTGTCATAATCAGGCTTCTCTGATTGTGCTCTTGCATTTCTTATTGCATGCTTTATTGTTATTAAATTGCCGTTTTACCTTCGTTTCTAGCTATCCAGGCTTAACCATTGTGCTTTTATTTATTATTTATATCAGGTACTTATATAGCGCCATCAATTTACGCAGCGCTTTACATATATACAGTGAGGAACAGAAGTATTTGAACACTCTGCGATTTTGCAAGTTCTCCCACTTAAAAATCATGGAGGGTTCTGAAATTCACATTGTAGGTGCATTCCCACTCTGAGACAGAATTTAAAAAAAAAATTCAGGAAATCACATTGTATGATTTTTAAAGAATTTATTTATCTTGCACTGCTGAACACAAGTATTTGAACACCTAAGAAACAGCAAGAATTCTGGCTCTCAAAGACCTGTTACTGTGCCTTTAAAAAAAGTCCACCTCTACTCCACTCATTAATCTAACTTAGTAGCAACTGTTTGAGCTCTTTAAAGACACCTGTCCACCCCACAGTCAGTCAGACGCCAACTACTACCATGGGCAAGACCAAAGAGCTGTCAAAAGACACCAGAGACAAAAATTGTGGACCTCCACAAGGTTGGAAAGGGCTACGGGGCAATTGCCAAGCAGCTTGGTGAAAATAGATCAACTGTTGGAGCAATTGTTAGAAAATGGAAGAGGCTAAAGACTGTCAGTCTCCCTCGGACTGGGGCTCCAAGCAAGATCTCACCTCGTGGGGTATCACTGATAATAAGAAAGGTGAGGAATCAGCCCAGAACTACAAGGGAGGAGCTGGTCAATGACATGAAGAGAGCTGGGACCACAGTTTCAAAGGTCACTGTCGGTAGAACACTCCGCCCTTACGCCGTCATGGTTTCAAATCATGCATTACATGGAAAGTTCCCCTGCTCAAGTCATCACATGTCCAGGCCCATCTGAAGTTTGCCAATGACCTCCTGGATGATCCAGAAGAGGCGTGGGAGAAAGTCGTGTGGTCAGATGAGACCAAAGTAGAACTTTTTGGTCTAAACTTCACTCATCGTGTTTGGAGGAAAAAGAAGGATGAGTTGCATCCCAAGAACACCATCCCTACTCGGGGGCGGACTGACCATTTGGAAACTCGGGCATTGCCCGAGGGCCCGGGGTAGGTATGGGACCCCATGAGATGCCCCTGGTACCTTTTTCATAGGCTTTTTGAGTTTGGGCAAGGACACAGGGGCCCCATGATCCCCTATTGCCCGGGGGCCCCATGAGTTGTCAGTCCGCCCCTGTCCCTACTGTGAAGCATGGGGGTGGTAACATCATGCTTTGGGGGTGCTTTTTTGCGAAGGGGACAGGACGACTGCACTGTATTAAGGAGAGGATGAATGGGGCCATTTGTTGTGATATTTTGAGCAACAACCTCCTTCCCTCAAACAGAGCATTGAAGATGGGTCGTGGCTGGGTCTTCCAACATGACAACGACCCGAAGCACACAGCCAGGATAACCAAGGAGTGGCTCTGTAAGAAGCATATCAAGGTTCTGGAGTGGCCTAGCCAGTCTCCAGACCTAAGTCCAATAGAACATCTTTGGAGGGAGCTGAAACTCCATGTTGCTCAGCGACAGCCCCGAAACCTGACAGATCTAGAGGAGATCTGTGTGGAGGAGTGGGCCAAAATCCCTGTAGCAGTGTGTGCAAACCTGGTCAAGAACTTCGGGAAACGTTTGACCTCTGTAATTGCAAACAAAGGCTTCTGTACCAAATATTAACACTGGTTTTCTCAGGTGTTCAAATACTTATGTTCAGCAGTGCAAGACAAATAAATTCTTTAAAAATCATACAATGTGATTTCCTGAATTTTTTTTTAAATTCTGTCTCTCAGAGTGGGAATGCACCTACAATGTGAATTTCAGACTCCTCCATGATTTCTAAGTGGGAGAACTTGCAAAATCGCAGGGTGTTCAAATACTTCTGTTCCTCGCTGTATTGTACATTCACATCAGTCCCTAACCCTCAAGGGGCGTACAATCTAAGGCAGCTTTTATATTTGTTGCCCAGTGGAATGCATTGACAAATGTTATTGTTTAATGTTCCTAATGCACTCCCCTATTCTTCAGTGTTCTGTGTTGCAAGAATTTGAGACCATTTAGTATCATAGTATGGAGCACAGCTTAGTAAAGTTAGTACTTTTGAAATTTAGTGTTCTTATCCTTTCCTTATGTCTCCCTTTCCTAGAATTTATGCAAACATAGTTACTCTGATTGCTATTACCTAAAATTATCCCCTACTTCCACATCTGCAATCTGTGTTCTTTCAAATTAATAGGTCCAGCAGAGCATTGTTTGTAGTTGAGGCCTCTGCCATATGTCCTGCATTATGTTTAAGAAAGGATGACTTCTAGTTGATTGTGCAGTTCTGTTTACCCAATCAGAATCAGAATAGTTGAAGTCCACCATGATTATAACATTGCTCTGCCTCCCGTCCACTTCTACCTGTGTAAAGAAAAAGGTCTCCTTATCCTTAAAGCGGAGTTCCACCCAAAAGTTCCGCTTTAAGCCTTTGTCCCCCGCTCCCCATTAAAGATTGGCACTAGAGATGAGCGAAGAAATGAAAAATTCGATTCGACTGATTCGGCGAATTCGTGGACAATATTCGATTCGAGTCGAATAAATTCGCTGTGAATTTAACTTAAAAAAACACTTCACTCATTTGGCAGTCACGGGGCCAAAACCAGAGTGTGGAGCCACAGTGTGGCGGGTGGAGGCAGCAGCAATGGGAGGCCATACAGCACCCTATGACAAAAATGGAAACCACCAGCAGTGTGAGGAGACCTGAAAGTGGCACATGGCAGAGTGTGTGGCGATAGAGACAGCAGCAATGGGAGGCCGTACAGGGACCCATGACACACTCTGGACCTGGCAGCAGCATGAGGAGGCGGTACAGGGGCCCATGACAGATTACGGGCCTGGCAGCAGCATGAGGAGTCGGTACAGGGGCCCATGGCAGATTACGGGCCTGGCAGCAGCAATGGGAGGCCGTACAGGGACCCATGACACACTCTGGACCTGGCAGCAGCATGGGGAGGCGGTACAGGGGCCCATGACAGATTTACGGGCCTGGCAGCAGCATGAGGAGTCGGTACGGGGGCCCATGACACACTCTGGACCTGGCAGCAGCATGAGGAGGCGGTACAGGGGCGCATGACAGATTACGAGCCTGGCAGCAGCAACTTGGACAGGAGGACGTTCAGCTTCTGCACCGTCGGGTGCGTGCTCGCAAACTGTTGTCTCTTGGAAACGGATTCCAAGAAAGACTGCTGACGGAATCCGTGAAGAGGGAGTAGCAGGAGAAGGAGCATCTGAACGAGCGGAAATATGCCAACAAGCGACAACAGTGGCCCATGACAGATTACGGGCCTGGCAGCAGCATGAGGAGTCGGTACGGGGGCCCATGGCAGATTACGGGCCTGGCAGCAGCTATGGGA